ACTTTTTTTGGACTTTGGGTTTGAATAATTGTGGGTTTGGATAATTGTGGTTTTTTTTGGGTTTTGGATTTGTCTTAAACTTTAATGCATCTTTCCCTTCAACTTTTCATTTCTTCAATTGAGTCCCTCGTCTTAATTTCCTTCATCTCCTGTTTCCAATCCTTTTCGCAAAATCTTCTCTTTTTGCATGTAGCACCTGAAACAACATAGAATATATTGTAGTTAAAGAAAAGAGAAATTTTCATATTTTTATATTTTATGATTTTTTTTATTAATTTTGTGATTGATATATATATATATATGTATTTATGAAAAGTCTAAATAAACTAAATGAAAAATTGACTTATGACAGTTGCCCCCTATTTACTCTTTTTTTTTCATTAGAAAAGAAAGTAAAGATAAAAGAATGACTCGATTTTAACTAAAACATGGAGAGAAAGATTGAATAAGGAGAGATTTGACTTGTGAGCTTGATTTTTGGGCAATTGGAAATAAAAGAAAGAAATGATAATATGAAATGTAAAGAAATATGATGTCAAGTAGATGAAAATGAAAAAGAGTCGATTGTTGGGCAAGTATGAAATGAAAAGCCGCATGTTGGGCAAATGAGATGCAAAGCTATGTGTTTGGTAGTATGAAATGCTAGCCACATGTTGGGCTAAATGATATGTAATACTGCATGTTGGGCATGAATAAAATGTTAGTCGCATGTTGGGCTAAATGAGATGCAAGCCGCGTGTTCAGTTGAATGAAATGTAAAGCCGCATGTTGGGCTAAATGATATGCAAGCCGTGTGTTGAGCTAAATGATATGCAAGCTTGGTGTTGGGCTAAATGATATGCAATGCTATGTGTTGGGCTAAATGATATGCAATGCTGCATGTTGGGCATGAATGAAATGCTAGCTGCATGTTGGGCAGAATGAAATGTTAGTCACATGTTGGGCTGAATGATATGTAATGCCGCATGTTGAGCATGAATGAAATGTTAGCCGTGCGTTAGACTGAATGAGATGCAAGCCGCGTGTTGGGCATGAATAAAATGCTAGCTGTGTGTTGGGCTGAATGAGATGCAAGTCACGTGTTGGGTTGAATGAAATGCAAAGCCACATGTTGGGCTAAATGATATGCAATGCCACATGTTGGGCATGAGTGAGATGCAAGCTGTGTGTCAGGCTGAATGAGATGCAAGCTGCGTGTAGGGCTGAATGATATGCAAAGCCGCATGTTGGGCTGAATGAGATGCAAGCCGTGTGTTGGGCTGAATGAAATGCAAAGTTGCATGTTGGGCTAAATGATATGCAATGCCACATGTTGGGCATGAAGGAAATGCTAGTCACATGTTAGGATGAATGAGATGCAAGCTGCGTGTTGGGCTAAATGATATGCAATGCCACATGTTAGGCATGAATGAAATGCTAGCCGCACGTTGGGCTAAATGAGATGCAAGCCACGCGTTGGGCTAAATGATATGCAAAGCCATGTGTTGTGCGGAATGAAATGCTAGCCACATGTTGGGCTAAATCAAATGTTAGTTGCGTGTTGGGCTGAATGAAATGCAATGTTAGGCTGAATGATATGCAAGTCGCATGTTGGGCTGATGAAATGCAAGCTGCGTGTTGGGTTAAATGATATGCAAGTTGCATGTTGAGCTAAATGATATGCAAAGCCGTGTGTTGGGTTGAATGATATACAAGTCATGTGTTGGGTTGCATGATATGCAAAGCCGCGTGTTGGGCTAATGAAATATAAGCCATGTGTTGGGCTGATGAAATGTAAGCCGCGTGTTGGGCTAATGAAATGCAAGCCGCGTGTTGGGCTAATTGATATTGAAAGCTACGTGTTAGGCTGATTGATATTGAAAGCTGCGTGTTGGGTTGATTGATATGCAAAGCCGCATGCTTGGCCGATGAAATGGAACGGCGCATGTTGGGCTGAATGAGATGTAAAGCCGCGTGTTGGGTTGAATGAAATGCAAGCTGCATGTTAGGCTGAATGAAATGAAAAGTCGCATGTTGGGCTAACAAAATGTAAAGCCATGTGTTGGACTGAATGAAATGTTAGCTGTGTGTTAGGCTGAATGAGAGCAGATCTTTTGGAAAAAGAATTTACCTTGAGTTTGTAATTGCCCCTCAGTTTGAAGTTTGTATTGCATGTTCGCATCTATGATTGACTCAATCATATCACAAACAAAAGAAGTATAAATCTCTCCTATGTGTAGTCTAGAAATGTAGATCATTGATCAATTGGTTCAATTATCCAAATTGCTATAAGCTTACACCAATTGGATTTCAAACTAGACTTTCTGAATACATCACATGTCAACTGCTCAAAATAATTATGCATGGCATGATTAAGTTCATTCCAATAGAATTCTTGTTGCTTTGACTCTATGTGAGCTTTCTCTACTTTCTTTAGGAGTAACATGAATAAAACAAAAGCTTTTTGTTTTTGTTTTTGTTTTTTTTTTTTTTATTATTTTGATAAGGAAACTCTACATGAATGATATGTGAAGTGAGGACATGGTGACAGGAATAGAGAGAGACTAAATTGAGACTTATTATGAGGAATTTGATATGAATGGATGACATGATTAGGATGAAAGGCTTGGAATTCTTGAAAGAAGATGAAAGATTTGAAACTCTTGGCAAAGAAGAAGAATCTTTTCCTTGCTATCTCAACAAATTACAATCATTTCTTTCATAAAATATAAAGACGATATCTTCAACTCATGTGTCATTGAATCATTTCAATGGCTCTGCTTCAAATTTTTCAAAATTTGCCCCCAACTTTTTAAGGCAATCATATATTTTTATAACTCAAACCACATTACAATTTCAAAACCTTTCAAATCCTTTGATAAGGACTTTATTCGGCTTTTAACGTGGTAATTGGCTTGGTTGATTTGAAAGAAAGGATATTAAGCCCATGCTATCTTCGACCTAGTGATTGTAATCCTCAAAACATCTAAAGTTTCAAAACCTTCAAAAAAGACTTTTGCTTTGGGTTGTAACGTGGTTTGGGTTATGGTTATTGAAAGAATGGTCGTTAAAGCTCAAATTCCCAATTTGCCCCCAAGTTACATGCCTTTGCTAAGAGCTTCACTTATTTTGAACTCTCTTTTTGGGTTTTCTTTGTTTTGCATCACTCAATTTTCCTTTTTTTTTTTTTGGTAGAATCTTCACTCTATTTTAAGTTTTTACTTTGACCTTTTTTTTTATGGGTTTTTCCCTCACACTTTTTTTTAAATGAGAAATTACTCTAGACATGTAACTAAATTCCCAGGTTTTAAAACGGGTATCCTAGAAAAGGTTGACAATTTTTAGGCTCAAATTGATTGACTAAAGATAAGTCACTTTGAGTTTAAGTGTTTGGGAGTTAGGGTAATCAAAGATGGCCTTTTATCCTTAGATTTTGAACTTTTAGCATTCTTGAATGATGACAATCACTTAGCTTAAGCTAGCATACCCCTTACTTCGCACTCAACACTCCTTGGGTTCATGATGCAGGTATCAAAGAAATGATCATTTTGGTTTTTATTCATGATCTTTGCCTTTTATTTTGGCTCAAGGTGGGTAACTAGGGATGATATTTGTGTTTGGGATAAAGAAACATTGCCTTTCTTCATTGAACCTTTCCGCCTTTGAACTCCTTTGTGGCTTTTCTCATTCTTTTTTTTTTCTTTTTTTTTTTTTTAACTTTTGCATCATTGCCCAAATCTTAGACCTTGAATTTAGATATCATCAACATATCCTTAGAAAGAAGAGATTTAATCCATCAAGAAGCAAGGAGTTATTTGAATAAGAAACGAGCAAGGAAGTTGTGCAGTGAAATTATGAAAACATGAAAGATGAGAAAGTAATATATTGACTTCTGATATGAGAGTGCTAACATATCAAACAAGTCATAACATATGAAACATTAATGAGGATGTGCCCATTGTTTTACTTTAACCATGATCTTAAGCAGAATCAATGATGGATTTTGATTTACTCATACTACAAATGATAGAAAAATAGAGATAACTAACATAGATCATTACTTCAAGAATCCTTCAGGTTTGAACTTGATCATTGCATTGCAAGTTTTGTTGAGGACTTGTCATTGCTTGTGATTTAGATTGAGTAACTATAAAACTGTGAGCATGTAAAACAAACTCTCTTCTTGTGAGCAATTTTGAAGGCAATCAAAAAATGTGAACTAAAGTAATAAAAGGATTGAATTTGAAAAAATTTTATGCTTGAACAAACAAAATTTGGATCTAAGTTTTTTTTTTTTTTTTTTGTATGAACTAATGAACTTGTAGAAAATGTAAGATAGTGAGAATTTCTTTGAATGAAAGTTTGGACAAAATTTTTTTTGTAGAAAATCATGACTTGAAGGACTTAATTGAAAAACAAGCGAATATTAGGACCAAATTTAACTTTATTCAAAATAGGAAATGAGTATGAGATGAATACCCATTTGATGTGAGATGGAGATGGAAGTCGCGATGTAAGGTTGAATATGGGTCACAATGAAAGATCGGATGGAAAATGTAATGTAAACTAAACATGGATGAGATTTTCATTTTTATACAAATTTTATAAAGTGTGGGATATATGAGAAATATATGAGAAATATATGATAAAGATAGTAATACTTGAAATGAAATGTGAGATGGAAAATGCAATGTGCAGTGAATATGAATGAGATTTTAATTTTAATTTTTTGTTGTTGCTATTTTTATGTAAGATGGAAGACGTAATGTGATGAACATGTAACATGTGAAATGTTGATGATAAATGGAAGATTTAATGTGAAATGAATGGAATGGACATACGACATGTAAAACAATTATCAAAATTTTTTTATTTTTTTTATGATGTATGGAATAGAAAGTGAAAGTGCAAAGGTGAATGGTTTGATGTAGTTATTGAATAGAAAGTGGAAACACAAAGTGCATGGATTGAATGCATGTTATGGATGTCATGAAACTTGACACGGTTGACTTAAGGAACACGTGCAAGTGTGGAAAGTAAGGTAAGATGTAAAATGCCCCTTCATGTACCTAAACATGGGAATCCTAATCTCACTGGTGGCTTTTTAGGTTGACAAGTCCTATTAGTGGTTTCTCTTTAAGTTCACTACATGGTTTCCTAAAGGGCATTAGACCTTCTCAACCATTTATCTTTTCGGAATCAATGGGAGATATTTCCAAATGCTTATATACATGATGATATTACATCATCAGGTGTTGTATTAACCAATGGAAACAACCTAATGAGAATCGATCTTACTCATCAAAGTGGGAAGAATTGCTCTTCGAAGCTAGATTCATAAGTATTCTAGACTAGAGCTCAGGTTCACCTTAGACATGGACCTAATGTAAGATGAGAGTAAGTGCGTACCAGGGGCATGACACTCTAATAACCTGTACAATGGCAACCACAAAAATAGCAACATATATCCTACGACAAGCAAATAAAGCAAACAAGCAAATAAAACATGTAAAGCACCCAACAGATATAACACCCACAAACAAACCTACTTACACAATAGGAAAAGACTCACCTAATACTCCCATGCCAAATGCTAATAGTTAGCACATCCACATACAAGCAAGGAGGCATGTAAGCATGATGCATGATGAAAAAGCATGTAACATCAGTGATGCATGAGCATGTGAGATGATGTGATGCGTGAACATGTGAGCAAGATATGATGCATGCCAAGATGTAGCCTAATAACTACTCAAAAGCAAAATAGTAAAGCAACCACTAAAACAATAGGCAAACAAGAAACAAAGAACAAGCAAGAAGCACATGCAATGAGTAAAAATAGACCCACAAAGACTTAACAAATAAAAGAAAAATCAAAAGCTGAAAAATTCCCCAAAGTTATAAGTATTAGCTCGACCTTCATGTACCTAGAATATGGAAACTAGAGATTTTGGATTTGAGTCCCCAGTGGAGTCGCCAATCTGTTGATGACCACACTCAAGATTTCAAAATAATGAAAAAAATTATTATTAAATGTGAAAAATATAAAAGAAAAGGGAGTACCACTCGTCCAAATTATAAGGTAAGACAAGTCACCTACAAAATGGGTCTGCACAGAGATCAGGGTTTGGGGGTTCGGTTAGGAGTGAGGAAGGGCATGCGCAGACCTCACAATCCTTCGTTTAAATACGGTTGTATACTTTAACATTGGGGTGTTTTAATTCAACTTATTCATTATGTTTAGGCTTAATTCAAAAATTAGTCTATTAACTATCAACTTGATTTCATTTTAGTCTAGAAAGTATGTTTTATTTCTAAGTGATCTCTAAACTTTGAAAAATATTTTAGAATGGTCTACCGTATAAGATTGTTGTTAGTTTTAATGAAAAAATCAAGTTAGAATTAAAATAGAACAGTTCTCTAAGTTTTTAAAAAATGATACTATAATCCCAATAAAATGTAATGAATCAAGGAATACTTTATAGAAATAGATTAGTTAGAATTTGTGATGAAATTGAGCAACTAACTCAATTTGAAGAGAGAAACTGAGCAAACTTAGAAAGAGAAGCTCTAGAAGTAAGTATTGAAAGTACAATAAGAATTAGAAATCTTAATTACAAAATAAGAATAAAAAGAGAAAGAATAAATACATTAAGAAATATTATTAATACACTTCTATTAGAATGAGCAATGAACAAATAAATCAAATTAACATATATTTACTCAATACAGTAGGAAAAAGTATAATAGGTATAGAAGATACAATTATCATAGATAATATTCTAAAAATATAAACAATTAATGAAAATACCCTAAGAAGAATTAAAGAAATGGGAAAACCCCTTTCTCAAGAATTTGATTCTATTAAGGAAAGCATAAATAATGTCAAAAACTCTAGAATTTGAAAGAAATAAAAGAATAAATAAGGTCTATTAAAGACTTAAAGACTCTGATATCTCGAGTAAGAGAGATAAAAATCAAAATATAAGAAATTTTCAAGATATTAAAAGCAATCGCTGAAAAATTTGTAGTAAAAGCTTAAAAATGTATAACAGAATAATTCTAAAACTAGAAAATGATATAGATAAAAATTTTTATAAGATCCAAACATAACTCAAAGATCTACAAGATGTATAATATTAGTTTGTAGTAGGTGAAATATTGTAGATAGATTTACAAGATGCTGTAATATCAGTCTGTAGTAGGTGAAATATTGTAGATAGAAATAAAGGATTTAAAATAATCCCAAAAATTTTCACAGAAAAACTTAAATCAAAAGGGATAACACTTTTCATGTTAAAAACCCAAGAAGAAAAGTTGAAAGAACTTGAACAAAAATTCTTAGAAGAAGAAAATGTAGAAGAACTAAATAATTTGTGTAGATAGATTACTATAACTACTAAACAATTAGAAAAAGGATTCAAGGCAAATTCCTTTTTAAGTAATCCATTTAAGAGAAAAGATATAGTTTATTACGAAATATACACTAAAGAATATAGCATTCCTATCAAGAATACAACGGGAATAATAAATATACCTATGATTATCAAGGCAAAAATAGAAAGTAAACTATCAAAAATCAAAGAAGCTGGTAGATCAAGGATAGGTTTTATAAAAAATCAAAGAAGCTGATAGATCAAGGATAGGTTTTATCCACATTGGAGGAATACAAATACTTATTAAAGCTCATTTTAGAGAAGGAATAGACACCCCAATAAAATTAGTTTTAATAGATAATAGAATCAATGATAGAAAGGATGCTATTCTTGGATTAGTGCAAGGTAACCTTAGTTACTAGAAACTTATGTTTATAGCATATCCAAAATGCGTTGTAAACATTAATGATAGAAATATTAATAAAACCTTAAGTTTAGCACATGAATTTGCTAGAGAAAACTTTATGAAAGATGGATCAATGCTATATAGTATATACTATATGATAAGTTACGCCTTGACTAATAGTCATCAATCTAATCTTTTTAAAGATAAAGAATATATTGAATTTGATCCTATGTTCTCTGAAATAGGACAAATTCAAAAACCCAAAATGATCACTGTAATAGAATTACCCAAAGAATGGGAAATAGACATTAGTGAAAAACCACTCTTAATAGGAGAAAGAGAAATGCCTAGACTAAAGGCATATGAGTCAGGAAAACTATTAGTCAAAACAAAACCTGAATCAAGCCATAGAAATAGTGTAGACTTAGGAGTTATATGCTATCTTAAGAAGGATAAAGAGGTCTTAACTAGAATAATTAATATAAAACATGAAGTGGTATTAGACACCTTAAAAATCCCTTCTAGACATTTCAAAATAAAAGGAGATTATTATGATGGGAAAAAATGACATAACATTTCTATCATAATAGATACAGGAGTAGGAGTAACACATATCCATAGTGATATGATCCCACACCTACTAAGATTTGAACTCACTAAGCCATACACATACTATAACTTTAATGGTGCAGTGACCATAGTACATGAATATGCTAAAGTACCTCTTAAAATAAATAATAATAATAAGATACAACATGAAATCACTATAATAGCTCATGCTGAAACAAAAATGACTTCTAATATAGAATTAATGCTAGGAAATACGTTCTTAACATCGGTACAGCCTTATAATATCCAAGAACATTGTTTAAAGATTACCTTAAGTGAAAAAGAAATGGTTATACCTCAATACTATGAATACTAGTATCTATAGTGTATACATATCTATTGGAATCAAATATGAAGAATACAAAATATAATTCTTTCATGCTTTTATAGATACAGGGTCTGGGATATGTTTAGCCAAAACCAATGTATTCCCAAAATATTATTGGAGAAACACCTCTCAAACTATGAAAGGTGTAGCTATAGATGGAAGTATTATTCAATATAAAACAATAGTAGAAAGAGTTACTGTCGTAATTGGTGGAACGGAAGTTAAAATTCCCCGAGTCTATGAAAGTAACAAGCATGGGAATGATATTCTATTAGGAAACAATTTCCTAAGTCAATTCAAGCAGTATGTTCAAACTGCATCATATGTAAAATTTTATACACCTTATGGACAATGGCTTTACGCTTCCATAATTTATAATGCTTATACTAGAGTAATAGAACCATTAAATTTTCACAGCCAACATGGTGAAAATAATACAAAAACTTGATTAAAAGAGATTAAAAGACCAGTGTAATTGTGGAATAATGAAAAAACACAAGAAAAAATAACTTTAGAATCTATCTTAGAAGAATTAAAAGGTAACTATGGAGAAGATCCTACAAAACTATGGGGAGTTGATAAAACTTATGCCACAATCGAATTGATAGACCCAAAAACTATCATTAGAGTCAAACCAATGAGATATAGCCCTGAAGATAAAGAAGAATTTGATAAGCAAATTCAAGAGTTAATGACCCAGAAAATTGTACAGGCCTCTAAGAGTCCACATAGTAATCATGCCTTCATGGTAAGAAATTATAATGAATTAAAAAGAGGAAAAGCTAGAATGGTTGTCAACTATAAACAACTTAATAGCAAAGCTAAATTCAATGGTTACTTTTTACCACATTAAGAAACTCTAATCAATAGCATTAGGGGAAAGAAAATGTATTCAAAGTTTGATTGCAAATCAGGATTTTGACAAATTAAGCTAACTCCTGACAATATCCCACTAATAGTTTTTAGTGCCCCTACAGGACACTATGAGTGGTTAGTAATGCCTTTTGGATTAAAAAATATGCCTCAAATATTTCAAAGAAGGATGGATAATGCATTTTCTTCCATAAAAAATTTTTGCATAGTTTATGTAGATAACATACTAATCTTCTCTGATAATGAGAAAGAACATTTATGTCATCTTAAAAAATTTGCATATTTATGCAAGAAACATGGAATATTACTTTCTAAAAACAAAGAAGAAATAGGAAAAAACCAAAATTGAATTCCTTGGATTAACAATAGATTCCACGGGAATAGAATTACAACCACACATTAGCAAAAAGATTTCGGTGTTCCCAAATAAATTAGAATCTAAAGAACAAATTCAAAGGCTTCTAGGAATACTCAATTATGCATAGTAGTTTATTCAAAACCTAGCTCAATTAAGACATCCTTTACAAAAGTTGCTTAGGAACAAGGAAAATCAACAATGAGAAATTTATCACACTAATCATGTGAAAAGAATAAAAGGATAATGCAAAAACCTTCCTAGGCTACAATTGCCTAAAGAAGATGAAGAGTTAATTTTAGAATGTGATGCCTCAAATTTTTATTGGGGAGCAACTTTAAAAAATTCTCAAGAAAAAGTTTGTAGATATGCTAGTGGTACATTTAAAGATGTAAAAACTAGATATCATTCAAATCATAAAGAGTTATTGGCTATTAAAAATGGAATCAAAAAGTTTAGTTTCTTCTTATTACCAAAACATTTTAAGGTCAGAACTGACAATACTCAAGTTAGGGGATTTATTTTTAATAAATTATCTTTAACACCAGAATATAAAAGATTAAATAGATGGCAAACTTTCTTTGTTGAATATGATTTTGAAATTGAACATGTCAAAGGAACTAATAATTGTCTTGCAGATTTCTTGAGCAAAGAAAAAGCTAATGGAAGCAATCTCACAAAAATACATGTCAACATAGGAATCACAACAAAATCAGAGATAAAACAATGTAGGCATTTAAACAAGAAACACAATTTAGATTGTTTCAACAAGTATATCTTATGAACAAGGCATGCTCAAGCTTCAATAAATAACAATTATAAAACATAATATCAAAGAGTGTCATACCGTATCAACATAAATCAGGTTAGGTCCTGCTACCACCTCAAAATAGTTCAAGATATTCTTTTAAAACTTTAGGTTAAAACCATTGGCATGACTGTAAATTTAATTACCT